AATACTGATTTTTAGACGCGGGATATGCAATGCATATTTGTTATTCGTGATTGGCGACGGATCAGGAGGAGTTGGTGATTATCGAAGCTGTGAGCAACAAACACCAGCAACTTACCGTGTACTTCCAGGAAAAAAAAAATGATTTAAGCAAAGGAAAAGAAAACTACCGCTCTAAACGTATTTGCAGAATTGCTCAAGAAAACTATTTTTCTTGGAAATTTAAATTTCGGCTCAAGATATTTAAAAATATTTTGCATGAGCCGAATTTGTGTACACAAATAAGGGTATAGAGCAAAATAAAAATTCGTCACTGCTATTCTTCCTATGCCGCAATCTGTATTATTTTTCGTCGGCTATTGCTTAATTTTTCTATTCGCCTGATAAATGGGTGACGTCATTCGGTTGGATCTAATTTGTGTCCTTAATTTGTGATAAGACATTCTTATTCAGCTTTCATTCTAAATATGAATGTCCAGACCTTAGATTAATTACCCAGTTTGATATATATCTGAAAAGATGGCAAGATTGTTTCGGGAGTCTCTAAATGTTGCAATTTAAAATTTTTTAACATTTCGAAAATCACTGAGATCTCACCAGCTGTTGGCTATTGTAATAGATTTCCAGTCCTCCTCGCGAGAATTGCATTTCGGAAGCTGACTACCAAATTTTAATTGATATTTGCTGCGTGGGCGACAAGGCATGAAATATTAAGACCATGCAAGCGAGTCAGAAAATATATGCATTTTCATCTGTATAAAATAATGGACTAATCCTCGAGGAACAACGAAGATTTTGTCAAACGTCCCGGCCCACTATTTCGCTTACGCAATGCTCTGTTCTTCCGACTAGGCTATAATGCAGTAGTTGGATTTGACGATCCAAAGAACCCGACAGCCAGTCCAGTTTTCACAAAAATTATTTCTTCTATTTCTGATGGGGCTATCAAGAGTGTTCGGCAACTTGCGCTTCCGTATCACACCATTCTCTGCAAGTTGGCGGTTTCGCCGCCCAGGATACTGCGAAAAATTCACCAGCAAAGAGGACCCCTTGATCAAGGAAGGCTACATTTGGAAGCAAAGCAAATCCACTCCGTGGAAACGGCGATGGAAAAGGCGATATTTCATCCTGTCCGGGGACAAGTTGTATTTTTTGAAGGAAAAAAGCGAGGAGTCTGTTTCGGCAAAGATCGTTCGAATTTTGGACATTGTTTCGATGATGGTAGAAGATTTTGGTTTTCGACGAAAGAAATTTGGATTGCGCCTGCGAGCGAACAACAAGGAATCATACATTGTGAGTTGTAATAGCGAAGCGGAAAGAAACGACTGGATAACCGCCGTACTTACAGCAAAATCTTACAGTTTGGTTGAACATAAATAATTTGAGCAAAAATGTGGCGGATCACACCGTGTAAGTCCATATTTTCAAATGTTTCAAACTACCTTTTTTGTAAGTTAAGATGAACAATGACTTGATTGGAGAAAGATGAGACATTTGTGCATTAGAAAACATAATTTGTGAGCTTGCCTAGGATGACTAACAGATGCCTTCCTGGTCAAAAAGAGCGCACAAAACATTAGACTTGAAATAAAACAGAGAGTGAAGAAACGTTTTTCGTGCATTTTCTTCTTGTAGTGTCGCCGGATATAAGTTGACATAAGTGTGTTTCTATGTACCTGACACTATTATTTCGAAATACATGTACGGAGTCTTTTTCATGTCAGATAAAATTCGTACGGCATGTTTGTATATTGGGACCGACTGAATATATGTTACTGTAAACAATGTTTTTATGAAAAATAAAGCCTGTTTCCGAGGTGTTATCCGTCTATATAGATCTATGTGCTTCTGATTTTTTCCCCGGAAACTTAAAATGACCGTTGAATTTAATGATGATGAAGGGAATTGAGAAATATAATAAATTCCTTGGCGTGATAGGCAACCTTTGCCAAAGTAACGATGTAAACGACGAAAGGGTCATATACGGTTTACTCAACGATTTTATCCGAACTTCTGAACCTAAAGTTAATTTTGTGAGATTTTTCGTTTCCTTGTTTATACATATTTAATGCGCTGAGAGCTCCTCTTTTGCTAGTTGAATGCGACAGATGACTAATTTCCTTGGAAATACAATCCCATCTTTTGAAAACAAGTTACTACTTCGAAAGAACATTAAAACAGTTATTTTCTAGTATGCTTGTGTACGATTACTGTGATTAACGTGGTCTAATTTGAAACAAACATTATATACAGTGGTATCAAAATAACTTCTTGCCAAATCTTCCTCGTTCATGTTTTTGGAAATGGACTTCGATGAATTCTCATTTCCTTCACAGCGGTGTAGCGTTCCTGCTATAAACTAAGTAACTACAAATATGTTATGTATAATATGCAATTTTTCGCGAAGGTAGCTAAGAGGAAAAAAAGAAACATTTTTTTACTCAGTGTTTTAATGTAAGTATATGATTGATTCCTCCATTTTTCGATTTTGCGTCCGTGTATGCCATCTTTGAGTCACCTTTTTGTTAAAATAGATCCACTCAGTTTTGTTCTTTGTTTGTTTTATCCGTCCATTTGTTTCGGTGCTTTGTTTAAGAAAACACAAAACTCACGCTGAGAAATGGAGATGGTGGAAGAAAAACTTCACGGCCGCCCACACAAAACACGCTCAGTTTCCAGCATGCTATCAACAGATTTCCCCAGATTACTTTCTTTGCATCAAATATAACCTTTAAAAATAGGAATGCTGTAATAGCTCACAGAAAGCGAAAAATGACACCCCTGAGACTGACTAGTGAACAGCAACAGTTCAAAATGGGAAACCTGAATTGTGGATAAACTTAAATCACTTTGTTTTGTCCCACGAAAAAAGCATAAAGGTTAACTTTTGTAATTTTCGTTTTGTTTTGCCTTTTTACCGTCTGGAGTTTGACGCAAAAAGTTCTATATTGAAGGTATAACAGTGGTTTAGCTTAATTTTTTTGCCTTGTAAACAAATCAAAAAAATGGTGAGAAAGCGCTTTGAACCAAGTTTGGCTGACAGCCTGAATTAAGTGTTAAGGGACTCAAGTTAAAGAGCTCAAGTTGGGCTTTTATTTTGACTCGCCAAGCATCTTTTTAAATTTTTTTTCTTAAACTTGTGAGAGTTTAAAGTATATCTCAGTCTTGATGGTCCGGCTGTATCAAAGCTTGTCCTTTAAAATTTTTCTCGACGTTCAAAACAAGTCTTAGTCAAGTTATTTTTTTTCTCACTTTTTCCGTGTCTCTCTCCCCCAAGTTGTGTAATTGCTGTCTTGTTTTGTTACTATCGACAATAATTGGATCCTGAGTGATAAGAAATGTGTAATAATTTTTTTCACTTATTAAAAAGCAATCATCGAACAGGCTCAGCGCTTCAGTGATTGGACAAATTCATGTTTCTTTGTATAAGGACTGTCAATGCCCACATGAAAGTGGCATCATTGTTGCATGAGTAGAAACCAATATCGAAAATTCGGAGATGTTTTTCCTGCCTTCAAAATGACTACGGTTCATTTACTTCGCGACATGAAATAAAGTGACCTTAATTCTTGTTGAAAACACTAAGTTGGTGAATTTTCCTACCGTGGACCTTGAAGTAATAGGGACCTTTAGCAAAAAGGCAATGGGCCTGTTTTTCAAACGGAGTTTAGCCAGTGTTTAACAAAACCACGTTCTAATCCATTTTCAGTTTGCCAAACGCTTTTATGTAAACACCATTTATCGTGAAAAGTTTCATGTAAGCATGTAGCGTAGACTGGAAAAGCATTTGCTTCCTTAAAATAACTCACTAAGGAAGAGATCTTGAGGTCCAAAGATTTCCTAAACCCTCATCTAAGTAAGACTTCGTTTAAATAACCGACCCAATGGGTTTAGTAAGCAAAACAACCTTAACATACGCGTGCAAAATGCTATTTTGTATACTTCTTTGCTTTCACTGCACAACTACGACGTGAAAATGCTTTCACACTATTTGGAGGACCCCGTAAATAGGCGATCGACGATACGAATTTTTCTTTATCTTTCTAAGCTGGAGTGCGGACCCCAAGAATTCAAGTCTAGGGAAATTCGCCTTTATTTAACATTTTTAGCGAATTAGAATAAACGCTACAAAGTTTGAAAATCTTAATAATGCCTTATTTTTGAAATGTTTTTTATCCAAGAACTGAAACCGACGCTTAACAAACAGCGCGATTCAATTCGCGCCAAATTATTTGTTTAGAGTAGTTCTTGTTAACATTGTTTTATTTCCATTGTTTTGTGACTTTATAAATATTTTTAGCACTTTTTACATTTTTACATATTTTATCACATTTTAGCGTTCACCACATTTTTATCTATTATAACTTGTTTTTAACTTATTTATGCTAATTTAGAGAACTTTTATACACTTGAAAATGACCTCGGAGAGGTCGACACGTCGTGATTTTTTATCGCTAATATTTATCTCAAAGTTTGAAAAAACGCCAATTCATTTAAAAAGTAACGCTGTTCCGTGCCGTCGCCGTCTTTGATGCTACAGCTCCCTAGTTTGAAATGTCAGTCGTCACTCGTTTCTGACATTTCAGACTAACCTTGAAATTGAGCGGTAAGAAATGTTATGAAATTGTTTTCCTGTCTTTCATGGCTATAACCGAAGGCCTTCCAACCATTAGGAGGCTGGTCGTTATTTCTTGTGAGGGGGAGGAGGCGGTTTTTTTAGAGAAAGCAAACGGTTCGCAGCTTCTCGGAAGAAGATTTTTATAAAGCCAAACTTTGCGCAAGCGTGTCTAACTCCACTGTTGCTTATCGTACGTGCAGGCTTGCCTCTGAAAATCCTTCTTCCAATGTCGGGAGGGGTACTCCCATATATGGGCTAGACAGGGTATGATTGGTGAGGTTCTTCTTTTCACAGGGCATTATTTTTTCCCTTGTTGCCGTTGTGTTCTCGGTGTGATCTTAGATAGGGTACCGTTAATATAGCAACTAAAATTCAAGTGCCGGCGTAAAAGCCCAGCTACACGAGAAACAAATCATCTGCTAAAAACTGAACTTTTCCTTTGGAGTATAAAGAAAGCGATTTCATGAAAGTTTGTGTGAGGCGTTGCCATTAAATTCTTAAATAAATGCAGAGAAGATTATCACAGTTAATTACGCAACTTATGCAGTAGCGTATGTAACCCTTTAACCCCCAATAACCACATACAAATTCTCCAAACTAATCTCCATTCATTTCATTTCATTTGTAATTTGATAATAGATCAAGGCATTTTCTCTTGGCTGATCATGTTAGTAATTCTCATAACTTTTCTATTGACATCTATCTATTGTATGGATATTTTTAGCAGAAAATCGATCTTGGTCACAATTGGGACTTCAGGGGTTAACTGTAGTGATCTTCTTTGCATTTATTTATTCATTACGCAGTCAGAAATATATGAAATTCATATATTAATCATTTCATTTCAAAATTTCTAAGTTTTTGTTTCAGTCTCCCTTGAATAGGGTATCAGTTTTCGTTTGTCTCAGAGTTTTAGGAGCAGAGATTAAGACCCTGACGGCATACACAAATTCAAAATTTATAGGAGCCTTATAGGAGCACCGCCCCCCTTCCAGGGGAGAAATGTCTTGCGTCTTAAACAGAATAAAATGAACGGGCAAACTCTCATCCCCCCCCGAAATCAAGGATGAAGCCGCGCGAAATCCAAACCGCGCCATTTTCGCATCCTTGAGTTGGAGAGGAGGGGTGGAGTGGCGTGGGGGGTCCCATCTATTTTGTGAAAGATTGTAGGTGGTAGTCAAAGAAACTTGCTCAGTCCAAACAAAACCGAAATCATTGGTGTCTGATTTATTTTTTCAACACGTCCACGCGTAAAGTGATCATTAAGACGTGAAAGTTGGCCGAAAACTATTTGTAATCGGCACTTACGAATACTAACAACGTAAAACTATGGTTTTACTTGTTCCTGTCAGTTCTCTTTTATCAACCCTGAAAGCCGCAAGGAACCTTCATCACGTAAAGACACTTTTTCGCAGATGCACGGGACTATCTCCACATATAGCGTTTGGCCCGGATTGGCTTTCAGGGATGAATAAAAGGAACACTAAATTAGGTGGAAAAAGGAATTCTTTATACTTCCACTACTGACAGAAGCCCTGATCACAGGGTTGGAAATCAAATAAGGATCTCCAAAGCTTGAGATAATTTGTCAGTATATCTATTCATATAATAATCACTTGTTCCCACTACATGTACCTTGATAAACTCAATTAAAATTTTGAACTTAAGAACAAAAACCTTCCTTGTTATTCCAATTATTGAAGCCAAAAAGATTTTCATTCCCTTTTTAATATCGGTTTGGATTTTGTCATTAAATATATCATAATTGCAAGGCAGTAATTATTGTTAAACTATTCATAAAATTATAATAAACCCTCATCACGCCTTTGTTGATCAATAAAAACACTCATCTCGGTATAAAAAATAATTGGAACCAGTGTGCATATATAATCACTTTCTAGTTGGTCTTTTAAGTATACTTTAACTAATGTGTCATCTGTTGAATTCATCGCTGGCTAATATCTTTTTTAAAACGAGGAGAACACTTGGGGACTCTCACATTAAAATGACGGGGAAGCTGCTCCTCTCGTGTAGCGCGTTTCGGTTACAAATTGCAGAGTTTCATCTTATTTAGGGTGTTCAGGACGGGAAGCCATAATTTTTACCCAAAAAAGTATCGCTTAAGGTTGAGCGTAAAGAAATTTCAAAATGTAAAAGCAAGCTAACGCCGTCTAACTGTATTGGAGTATGGTCTCCTTTAATCTTTTAGGGTCAAATAAAGCCCTACCCCCCCCCCCCCGGGGGAATACTCAACAACGTTTTATACGCGGAGGCTCCGGCTCGAGGTCCAACCCCTTGTCATTTTATATTCCATTTTTGGCAGAAAAAGTAGCCCTTTTGTATACCTTCTATTGACAAATGGTAGTCCTATCACATACAACTTTGCATCCCTTTTACTGCTGTAAATGCACCTAAATTGCCTTTATCACAGCCATAACATGCATCTGTGAGTCCTTTAGGGCCTTTTTTAAAGACCAAAATGACAGCATTTCCTACCCTTTCAGATATCTGAAGCCGGAAAACGGTGCACCTTTCGGGCGGAGCCTCACCGTATAGGTCATTATAGCGAGTATCCCCCCCGGGCCTTAGCCACGCCCAGATTGATCTCCCTTGGGGCTTTAATTTTTATCACGAGCAGCCCCGTCTGTTTTATGTCTGAGTCCCGCCTCCCTGCCCCCCTGGGCGAGCGACTACCAATGGGAACTGATGTACGGAGTTATAGCACGAAGAGTGTCACATATCAAAAAGTATGACCGCTACAATTCTGTTAAGTTGATTGAAATTTCCGTTACTAATGAATGTTACGATGAAAGGTTTGTTTTTATGCCAGTTTATCACGCTGTCCGTTGACGTAGAAGAACACTTCCTTTAAAAGTCAAAGACCTCTGCATAAATCTGACCTGTGATTTCGAACTACACAAGTTTCTTCTACACGTAGGACTCGTATGAGTAAATCTCTCGAGTGTTCTTCACAAATGCAAGTTCAATATCAGTGTTTTTGTGGTCATGCTTCTTGTCAGCTTTCCACGATAGCGGCCTCATACCATTAAGTATTACGAACAGTAAACCAAGCACATCTGCCAAAACAGCCATCCAAAGAGCAGCCTTTCCGGCAAGCGCTGCAACCACAATAACCAGCTTTAGAACGACAGAAAAGGCAATATTTTCCGCAACCACCCATAGACAGAAGCGACCGAGTTCCACAAGCTCAGGTATTTTGGCCAAGTTATTGCTCATAAGTGCTACATCGGCCGCTTCTACAGCTAAAGCGGTACCTCCGGCGCCCATTGCAATCCCAACATTCGCTGCGGCCAGTGCTGGACCATCATTAACACCATCGCCGACCATACCAACAATGCTTTTGTTAGCGCTGTCACGTGAGGCTGATATGTTGAAACGGCGACGCGAACAGGAACGAGACGCAAAACGCTTTCTGCGAGTACCACTAGGAAACATCTCGCCATCACCGAATTTTATTCCATCTTGTCTGTCTTTGACCCAAGACAGCTTGTTCTGCGGTTTCATGTCGGCGACACACTCGTCCAGTCCTAGCTTACTCTTCACGGCCATGGCTGTTCGCGAGTTGTCACCGGTGATCATAGCCGACTGGACTCGAAGCTTTCTTAGCCAACCAAGCGTGTCTAAGCTGTTTGGTCTGATCGTGTCCGCGAGCGCCACCATCATAGCAAGTTTGCCATTTAAACACACAAAAATCACCGTCTTACTTTCGTTGCACCACGTGATGTACTTGTCTTCCATTTGTTTTTTCGGCCTTTTTCCTGTGACGTGAGTAAGAAATTCATAGTTTCCTATCTGAACCAGTTGACCATCTACAATACCGGAAATACCTTGTCCTTCGTGGAGCTCAAAGCGTGACACTTCCGGTAAAGTGGCGTTTTGTGATCTGACCATTTGAGCTACGCAACCAGCAAATTCATTAACTATGGCTGCTGCCAGAGGATGGCTTGATTTGCTCTCAAGTGCAGCAGCTAAGCGTAAAGTAGCTCGTTCGTGTACACCAAAAGAACATTCTATGTCGACAACTTGAAACTTTCCTTCGGTCAGTGTTCCAGTTTTATCAAACGCAAGTACTTTCAACCGAGCAAGCGTCTCGAGATGAGCTCCCCCTTTAATCAGAGCTCCTTTTCGCGCAGCTGCAGTGATGCCACATACCACAGCGATCGGGGTTGACATGACGAGTGCGCAGGGGCAAGCTATGACCAGAAGAACAAGCGCTCGTCGGCCCCATTCTTTAATCTCTTGTGAATAGGTCCCCACACCAGCAGCACCGAGAATGGCGGGAATAATTACCACGAGAGCTGCCACAATGACCACAGCTGGTGTATAGTACTTGGCAAACCGGTTTATTGCAATTTCAGTTCTCGCTGAACCGGTTTGAGCTTCTTGAACAAGTTTCGCCACTTTAGAGACTGTACAGGAAGTTGCGTCCGATGTAGTCTCGACTTCCAGGTATCCATTTTGATTGACAGTTCCGCTATAGACCTTAACACCTACTGTTTTCTCCAAAGGAACAGATTCGCCCGAGACCGAGCTCTCGTCCACGGCAGCTCGGCCCTTGACTACCACACCATCCAATGGAATTAATTCACCTGGTCTAACGGCGATAGCTGTGCCTATGGTAACTGACTCCACAGGGACACATTCACCCGTGTCCGCTAATATGGCCACTTGAGGTGCTTTGAGCATGAGCCCAGATATGGTCCGCTGGACTTTGTGCATGCACAACTCCTGCAAGGCTTCAGCGAACGAGAAGACGTACACCACAGCTGCACCTTCGAGCCACTCCTGAATGGCCAGCGTTCCTGCTATGGCAATGAGTATCAGAATATTAATATCCAAGGTGAGGGTCTTGATGGACACGGAGGCTTTCTTCAAAACTGGAGGGATACCAAAGACAATTTCTGCAATGGCCACCCACTGATACCAATCTGCCTTGACAAAGAACGCTACAACGCCTATCATCATCAGAATACTCTGAACCAAAAGATAAACCAAAAACAATGATAACGAATGCGGCAGGCCTTCATTCTTCTTATCGGCATTATGGGATCCGGTCTCCATGATGCTGGCTCCCAGGTGCATGCGGTTGAGGGTGGTGACCAGCTCAGTGGCTGACGTCACTTCCGGATCATGATGTACGTATACTACGCGACCGATTACATTCACAGCGATGGATGACACGCCTTCCAAAGGCTCCAAGGAATCTTGAACCAGCTTGATTTCCATTGCACAACAGATGTTCTGAACTCGCAGTTTTGTTGTACGTTGCAGCAGCATCGGCTTCTTTTCACTGTTACCACTCTTATTTGGAGGTGGTGGTGTTGGGGGGGGAGTGGACGGGTAGAAGCCACTACAGTCTGTCATGGACACTCGGCTGACAGATTTGTATCGACAGTCTTCGACCAATAACCTAAACTTACAGCATTCGTCAACAAGTGCCTCGCTTGGGCCACCACTGCAACATTTGCTTTCACAGCATATGTTTTCAGGCGATGAAAACAGGACGACCGAACGCACACTGCGTGACTTACCCTTGCCACAGGACTTGCTTTCGCAGCATTTGTCTTCCGCTGATAACCACATAACAGGATTAGAGTTGCGTGACAGACGCGTGCTCTCACTACAAGATATGCTTTCACAACACTTATCTTCCGATAAAGAAAAGGTGGGAGTTTTACTTGACTGACATGTGGCTTCATTCAAGGGTTTTCTTGCACAACAGCCATCATTGCATGGGGAATTCGTGGCCACCCTCGCAATATTGCGTGACTCACAACTATCGCCACTGCAGGGCTTACTTGTACAACACTTGTCCTCTGTTACTAAACGTCTGGCAGGATCACCAGGATTGCTTGCTTCCTCGCACGTGACTCCCTGGGATTTGTTCGGGCTACAACAATTCTGGCAAGAACTCTGACTGGTTTTACAGCATGCTGCATCCGTTGAACTAGTGGGTCCTTCAATGTCATCACCTCCGGAGCTCTTTTGGGCATGACAAGGACTGCAGCAGTCAGACTGAAGCGGAAGTGACGCCTGCTGTGGAATGGTGTTGTCAGTTAACAAAGAAGGTTCGGTTCCTTTCTCGTCATTTGCAGAACAGCAGTTACTCTTGCAACCCGTCTTTCTCTCCTCCTCAAATGGTTCTTTGGTACAAGAAGAAGAAGAACAGGTCGTGGTTTTTTCTTTGTCACATAAATCTTTCTTGACAACACAACATCGTTTTGAAGAACATGTGTCTGGGCCAGAACCTCGGTAGTTCAGCGTTGAAAGTAACTTTTCTGAGATGTTATTGGTTTGAAGAAGCCTATCGTCATCTTCGAAATCTTGATCACCGTGGTAACGCTCTTCGCATTCGCAGGTCACTGCAGAGCCTCGGTAGTCCATCGTTAAAAGTGACTTTTCTGAGATGTTATTGGTTTGAAGAAGCCTGTCGTAATCTTCGAAATCTTGATCACCATGGTAACACGCGTCGCATTCGCAGGACACTTCCGGAAAATCATCCGGACAACAATCACAATGGTATTCCTGGCACATGTTGGTATGTCTGTGGTCTGAAAGAAAAGGGGTTAAACGTTAGTTTGGTAAAATTTTCTTAATACCAGCAACAGTGCACAGAAAGACGAAAATTCCGCGTCGGCCAAAATTCCACCAGTTCGGAGATCAGCCTTGTGTCAAGGGAAAAATGAGATCAAACAAATTTATGTGAAGTGCAACTACCACGGTTTATAACGAATGCGTGCGAGTAAGGTACACGCATTAAAAAAAATAATAAAACGAGCAGAACGCGCACTATTGCCTAATTTCATACCGCGCGGGGGCCTGGCACTACCGGATTTTCCCGGACTTTTTAAAAAGTCCAGTTTCAAAATGGCGGATAGTCGGAGTAAAAACTCGAACGAAAGCGTTCTTTTTCGAAGAAATATTGATCAATATTCCCTCGGAGAATCTGTCTAAACTTAGTAAGGAAAGGATGCAGTATTTCTGCCATGCCCTGAAGCTAAACTTAAGGAGCCGACACTAAGCAAGTGCAAGCAATTTGTTCGATGAACATGTCGCTCGAACCAAACATGATTATAAATTTTCTACAGCAAAGGATCCTCTGTTTAATTCTACCCGCATATGAAAAGTAGAGAATCATTGCAGGAAAGAACACAGATGTGACTGTGCACGTACCGATCGTAGCCTAAGCATGCTGGAGCAAGACTTAAGAGGGCAGTACAGAAGGGCTTACCTGGATTATTCCCGTCGCGGAAAAGAGTAATGTCGGTGAAAGGTACTGAGTGTAGTGAACTTTGTGGCGTTTATGTATGTTAAACTTAGTGATGTTCACATGAAGGGAGATAAGGGACTAGTCTATACTCAGTGCATGCTAGCCAAAAGGTAGATGTACGTAACATTCTTGATTGTGATTACAAGCTGATTGCCCAAATTACAGGAACTGCGGTGTCACCGGACGAGAAATGCCTCTCAAGTAAGACTGAAGTATACTTGCTTTTATCCATGTTCAGGGAGAATTGTTTCCGGTCTGATCTTTAGGATTTCTACTGAGACCGTACGCAGCGACGGGGAGAAAATCTAATGTAAGCCTTGTCGACCTAATATACAACAATGTTACCCTTCACTCAGGGTCACTCTGGCGTGTTTCGCTTTTTGGTAGTTTTTATTTTACGGCCTGTAAAAATAGGTACACCCACCCCCTTATCATTCCCCAATATTCGATCGGATCCAGCGCCGTAAAAAGAGCTAAACTCGATGGTTCTTTGTTCAAATTTTTTGTCGAACAATTCGGGAATCCTTCCAATACTTCCAAGTAGCGAAAGTCTCCGATTAGATCTTTCTTTTCTCGAACATTTTAATCGAGGTTCTTTATAGCAGTAAAACAACTGTTCCTCTTAGCTTTAGAATATTAACTTTCTGGAGTAATCTGGCCCTTAATATCGTTTTAACTGCACGCAATGACCTTTGCTTTACCTTCTATTTTGGAAGCCATTTTCAATCCAGAATTTAAAAAGTCCGGGAAAATACGGTAGTGCCAGGCTCCCGCGCGGCATGAAATTAGGCAATAGCAGTCCTTAGACCGAAAAATATTTCACCAACTAGTGGAAATCCTTCATTATTACAGGTCGGGCAAAGAGTTTTCTTCCCCTGAGTTTTCGCAAAAGTAACGCGCCGCAATGCCAAAGGTAACGAGCCTTCTTACTTCTCGAAGTGGTAAAAAAATGAAGTGCATACGCCCGAATCTTTTTAAATTGACGTTGGTGCTTGGTTAAAGGCGTCTAAGCAACGATGGCGTCAATCAGATAATCCAATTTCTAGTATTTAAAGAATGACAGTTTCAAATATCAGAGGCGTTCATGCATTTCTTACATCAACGATAAAGCCCAGCGTAATTCAAAATGGCGACGAAAAAATATCACCGCTAATGTATCGGTCAAATCGAAGCTTCAACATGCCCCCCCGCGGGCAACCCCCGGGCATTTGACTTTTTTGAAAATTATTGTTCAAATTCCTCCCTACCCGGGCCAAAATGCCGTTAAATGCCCCACACTAGGGTCCATTCAGGTGATCAAATGCTCCCACCCCGGGGACATTTCACATGCACAAAAATGACGGAAAGACGGTGGAAACGCGTTCAGTTGTCGAACAAAATCTTTAGAAAATATGACAAAAACTGAGAAACACTGTTAGCGTATTTACTACGAACAAAAGTCTCATGCAAAGCGGCGGAAATCGCTGCTACAAGGTCACTGAATGCTCAACTTTTTTTCGTCATGCAACATACAAAGCGTTCTTTAAAAAAAGATCCCACCTATTGAGATTACTACATCACGACCATTTCACTGACATGCATCATCGCTTACCTTATTAATTAACATACTTGCAGTAGGTCAAAGTAGTTGACCTGAGCTTCTTATTTTATTTTATGTTGTTGTATTGAATCGCCGGTATAGGTATTGTATTTCATTGTAAACACAACAATAAAATACATTCATACATTCAAAGCCGGAATCCAATATTAAAAATTTTAAAATTTAAATACTTCAAATACGGCACAAAGCTTGTTTAAGCACTTTCCCAACTGGCCACAAAGGCACAATCTTTTCCACGAAAATCCTCTAACACCGCGTCCCCCATGATAGCTCGCCACGCCAAAGATTTTACATGAAATCGAGGGTGCAGTTCAAATCCCCCACCCCTAAAGCATGGGGATCAAATTCCCCACCCCCTGGAACACTCTGATAATCAGATTCCCTCCTCCCCTGGACGGCAAAGGTGTCAAATGCCCGGGGTATGCCCGGGCGGGGGGGGCATGTTGAAGCTTCGATTTGACCGATACATAAGTAACACAAGACACCCATCAGATAGATCCCACGTCAAACCAATACTACCTGAAGTAAAATAATGTGCAAAAATCAAATAAGAGCAATGCCTGCCTGGAACGAAAGAGGAAATAATTTCTTCGTTGAAGAATCTCCGGTGACTGTAGCGAAATCTCTCGCGCGGTGCATGAAGCTGAAACAAGACTAGTATTTACCGATCACTGATGAAGCAAAGCCCTGGGTTATCGGTTGCTTTACGAAATTCAACCAAGTTTGATAATGGCAAAAATTTTACATCGACTGAATTTCTACTCTTAGCACGTTCCAGTGATAATAACAATATAGAGATAAGCGTCAACGTAAATATACTTCGCAATGATCAATAATAAGCTTGTAGTTTATTTTCCTCCCTGGATGCCTTCCGGAGAGGCTTAGTGAACTCATTCATCGCGAGCTCGCCATAGTATCTTTTCAAATAAATTCTCTACAGGAGTATTGCCCTGCCATAAACCTTTTAAAAAATATCTCAGAGAAATTAGAATTCAGAACGGCTGTTCTCATTTTGTATTTGTTGTCAAACTGATTTTGATGACTTATACGAATATTAAAATAATGAGTGCTTGTAATTGTTGAGGTTATATTCATTGTTTCCTCCATAGTCATGAACCAAATGCAAAAAAAGTTGCTGGATTTATACTCTTTTGTTTAAATTAAAATAAGGCTAACTAGCCTCATTCCTCGGTACAAAATTCAAAAAAATACATTTTCCCAAGTAAGGCTGGTCGGGCTAATTTTAATTTAAACAAAAAGACATTAACTGAATCCAACAGCGTTTTTGCATTGGGTCCATATGGCAAGAGGAATGGGTCACCATTATAAAGTTTTTTTTTTCTTTTCGGGGACAACTGAACAATACTTAAGGCTTTTTCTTGAAAATTGCTGCAGCTACTCTACAATTGAAAAAATATCATAACCCAGCGAAACTTAAAAAAAACCAACCCTAGTCTGTCCTTGATCTCTTGTTTAGAGATATTCGTGCAACTT